CACCGAGCTCCTGGTTCAGGCTGTGGACCCTGGGCGCTCACCAGAGCTCTGCCTCGGCCACGCGGGCGCCTGGGCCACCTCTTGCTCTCCGGAGAGTCCCCGGGGAGGGCAGAGGAGCCCTGTGAGGCGGGCTGCTGCTGGAACCTGCAGGTGCCTCGAGGCCACGGGCACTGGCCTGCCCTGCGTCTTAGGGCGAGACCCTCGGCTCAGTCACGGTCCTGTCCTGCCAGCACCCCAGAGGCACCAGAGAGAAACCCTGAAGACCGGTGGAAACTTCCAGAAGCAGGATAAAAGCAAAGCGCATTCCAGACTGCAGCCCTCCCAGGGCCAGCTCTGCCCCACCTGGACAGCGGCCCGACGCAGGGCCCCTGGAAGGCCAAGTCGCTCTTCCCGTCTGACTCCCTGGTGGCCCCACCTGCAGGAGCACCCCAAGCTAAGAGGAGGCTCCATCAGGGGCAGACGAGGGGGGCCTCCTGTGGTGCCCCTCGGGGACGGGGACATGGAGCGTAGTCCAGTCCCAGAGGGCAGCAGGTGAGGGAGAGTCCCGGGCAAATCCAAGTCCCGCCCTAAGCTGCAGTGCCCACGGCCTCCCGAGCCGCGGCCTGGGTCACCGCAGCCCATGACGTGGGCGTCGCCAGGCCCAAGAACCACCAAGGAAGCTCCAGGGTGCGTCCCCACTGCCCTGTGTCCTGGTCTTCACGTGAGAGCCCCACCATGGCCTCTGACCCAGCAGCCCCCTTGAGGTACCCCCAGCCCAAGGGGGCAGAACTCGCCCAACACACGCCAGTTTGGAAAAGGTCATTTTGAGAGGAAAGCAGATGTGAGAGAAGTCACTTGCCCGGAGGGAGGGACCCCAGGAGGGATGGCCTCACCCTGAGAGGACTGTGGAGTCCAGCCCAGGAGGGAGGGAACCCCAGGAGGGCTGGCCTCGCCCTGAGAGGACTGTGGAGTCCACGCCTGAGGCCCAGGAGGGAGGGAATCCCAGGAGGGCTGGCCTCGCCCTGAGAGGACTGTGGTGTCCAGCCCAGGAGGCCCAGGAGGGAGGACCCCCAGGAGGGCTGGCCTCGCCCTGAGAGGACTGTGGAGTCCAACCCAGGAGGGAGGGAACCCCAGGAGGGCTGGCCTCGCCCTGAGAGGACTGTGGTGTCCAGGCCTGAGGCCCAGGAGGGAGGACCCCAGGGCTCTGGCTGTGTGCAGGGCACACACGTGTATGCACACAGGCATACGCACTGTCGAGGCGCCCCTCAGCCCGTGGCCTCTGCCGGGAGCCCCTCAGGGCAGGTCTTGCTTTAGAGAACGGGTGGAGGGCTGAGCGTTGCAGGAACTACCTAGAACCCCAAATGGTGTTTAGTGCATGAATACAGCAGAGTCCCCCTTCCTGCAGGGCAGAGGGTCCTCCTCCTACTGGGCCAGCCCTTCACTGACCTGGGGCAGCACTTCCAGCAGGGGCTCAGCCCACCCCTGACCAGGCCCCGCAGACCCCAGCTCCACAGCTGCAGCGGGGTCCTCACCTCCTGGCTGGAGCCCAGCACAGACCTCCTCCCCCAGGGAGCCCTCCTGGCTCCGGCAGCCTGATCTCCCGGGCAGTCTGGTGTCCTCGAGCTCCCCTTGCCAGCCCTGGACTTGCTGTCTCCTCTCCTTAATGGCCGTTCCCTCCTCCCTGCTGCCTGAGCTCCTGGGGGTACAGGCTTGTGGGGAGGGTGGATTGGCTTCAGAGGCTGCTGCTAGGTGCCTGGTGGAGGCCCAGGATACCAGCTGTGCCATGAGGCTGGCCACAGACTGGCTGCTGTGTGGAACGGTGACCCCAGGCTGGGACACTAATACCCGTCTGGGACACTGATGTTTGGCCCGAATTCCCCTGAAAAGGAGCACCTTAAATTAAAGAGACCCATTGGGGTGATAAAGACGCGGTGGCTGACGCACATGTCCAGAGCTGCCTATGTCCCAACGCAGCCCCTAGCGGATAAAATGCAGGCCACTGAGGGGACACGCAGGTCACCTGGGTGACCTCTCCTCACCCAGCCAGGCGGCCTGGGGAGAACGGGCATGAGCTCCACCTTGAGTTGGGGAAGGCAGCTGGGCCAAGGTCCGGTGGTGACCGTGGCCACGAGGACCTCGAGCAGACTCAGTCCCTGGGCCCGGCACCAGTGAATAGGTGGGCTTTGCTGTAGCGCACTGGCCATGGCGAGGCCTCTCCAGGATCCCGCCTCACGGGAGATGGCTTTGGGTGCAGGTGTCAGCAGTTGTCTGGGAGAGGCTGTGACACTTGCCTCCTGTCCCCACATCCCAGGCCTGGCTGCCCAGACCTCCCGTAGCCAGCTCTCTAAGAGGCCCTGGGAAGAGGGGGGAACGGCCCTGCTGCAGCCGTCCAGTGCCCAGGGTGGGCAATGGAGCCCCAGCTTCCTGTCCAGTGCCCCGGTGGGCAGCATAGCAACAGCTTCCTGTCCAGCGCCCCAGGTGGGCAGCAGAGCCCGGCTTCCGCACCTGGTGGCTGTATTCTGCGGCTCCTCTGGAAACCCCGCGTCCCCACCCCACCCCACAGCCAGCCACTCGGCTTTGTGAGCGCTCACTCCACACCAGGCCCTTCCTGCTGGATAGAGAGGCGCGTGTCCTCTCCTGCTGCCCACCGTGCAGAGACAGGGACAGGGAAGCTGTGCTTCCCCAGAGAGGCCCGCCCAGGACTCAAGCCTAGCAACCCACTTTCCCTTCCATGGCTGGGTGGGGGAGCTCAGGGGACGGGTGTGCCCCTGTGGGTGCCGCCCTCCCTCCCCAGCCTGTCCTTCCAGGGCTGCGGGAGTCCACGTGCCTCAGACACGCCTGGCACCTGCTTCACGGCCAGCGCCCGACCTGCCAAGCTCTGGGGCCGCCCCCCAAAGGCGAGCTCCAGAACCTGGATCCCTGAGCAGTGTCGGGAGCCGGGAGTTTGTCTACCAGGTGACAGGCCCGGGGCTCTGCCCTTGTGGGTGGGTGACCCTGTCCCCTGGGGACTGGGTTCCTTATAAAAAGGAGGGGTGAGAAAGCGCTCTTGCCCCTCACCCCTCTCCCCTCCCCTTCCCCCCTTCTCCCTCCCTCTCCCTCTTTCCCCCTCTCTCCCCCTCTCTCCCATCCCTCCCCCTCTCCCCCATCCCTCCCCTCTCCCCCATCCCTCCCCCTCTCCCCCATCCCTGCCCTCTCCCCCATCCCTCCCCCTCTCCCCCTCCCTCTCCACCTCTCCTCCTCCCTCCTCCCACCTGGGTTGACACAGGGATTTGTGGAACTTCCAGTCTTAGATTCTCACAGTGAACAAACCTTCCTGCTGGTTGCAGCCAATGGCCTGCCCTCCCTGAACTTGGCCCTCAGAGGGTGTGTCCAGGGCTGCCTGCTGGAGCTGCATGCTGGGCTGCCCTCAGGGCCCTCTGCAGCTCCCTGGGCCTCCCGTGACTGTGGGTCTTGGTGCAGATGCCCAAGGACGCCCTCTGTTTCAAGGATTCCACGATTTTCACAGAAGAAAGAGGCATATCCCAGGAGCAGCATGAGTGGCGAGGACTCAGCCTTGGCCTCCAGGGCTGTCACAGAGAGCAGATGTCCCAGCCCGTGCCCACAGCGGGAACAGCGTAGCTCACGGGACACATCAGTATCATCCAGGTGCCGTAGCCAGCACTGTGGTTCAGGGCAGGACTGTCCTGGGAGCTGGGGTGGAACTGGGATCGACCAACAAAGCCCTGGCCCCGGGGCTGGGGAGAGGAGGCTGCCCTGAAAACTGGGTTGAGGCCACTGGTGACCAGAGGTTGGGGTGGGAGACAGCCACTGGACCCAGCTCCTGCAGCTGGCCTCCAGGCTCTGTGGGAAGTGCACATACATCAGGGTCACACTTGGCAGCCAGGTGCGCCCTGGCCCTCCCCAGCAGTGCGCATGATGTGGCTTCAGCCACTGACATGTTCTTGGTGCATCCGAAGCTGATCCCTCTTTATTTCTGAATAGTTTTCCACTGTAAGAACACGTGATACGTACAGCACATGGACACACCCAGTGCACCAGTTCACAGGGACACATTCCCCAGGCACTGCCGGAGCATCACTTGCAGGTTTTAAGTCTTTGAACAAGACTTTGCAGGGCCCATGCCGTCTCTAGATGCCCAGGGGTGTAATTGTGGATGTTTAACCAAACTCTTTCCCAGAGAGGTGAATCATCTCCATTCTTACCAACAATGCTGGTCAGCGCCAGTGACAACATCCTTGTCCACACCTGGTGCTGTCAGACATTTGAATTTGGCCAGGCTGAAGGAGGTGCAGGGGATCTCCTTAGAGGCCAGTTTGCTCCCCCTGACCTTACGGGGATGCGCACTCCAGGGCCTCCTACCTGGGGGAGTCTGTTGTGAATGTCGGTTCTGACAGTGAGTTTTAATCAAGCACAATGTATTGCTATTTTGCTTTTTGTGTTTTATCTAAGAAATTTTTGCCTATTCCAGGGTCACAAAGTCTTTTTTACATATTTTGGGGAGAATGTTGTTGCTTTAGTATCTCCACAGAGATCTATGATCTCTTTTCAATCACTGTTTTAGTGTAGTATGGAATAAAATTGAAATTCATTTTCTTCCCATGCCGATACCAGTTTTAGGCCTAATTACAGATTCTCCATTCTATTCCATCATCTATTTCTCCTTGCACCAATTTCACATTGTCTTGTTGATTTATTCATAATAAATCTTAAAATAAGTTAGTGTAAATCCTCCAGCTCTGATATTTCTTTTGGAAATTATCTTCTCTATTTTAGATCCTAAGCATTTCTAAATAAATCTTAGAATCAGCTTGTCATTTCTCCAAAAAGGCTTCTGGGATTTGAGGGGATTCTGTTGACTCTACAGACCACTTGGGTAGAACTGAAATCTTACAGTTGAGTCTTTGGATCCATGAACATTGTATACCCTCCACCTATCTCGCCTTCCTTGAGTTTCTCTCACTGTGCATTACGGTCGTCAGCATGAATGTCTCCACACATTCTTGAGTATTTCTTGTTCAAGATGCTATTGTAAATGGATTTATTGTTGGATATGTTAGTGTAAACTGTGTCTGATGTGGTCATTACAGCTAAATGATGGTCCTGTCTGAGTCTCGTTTTGACCAGGGAACCACATAAAACTCTTCCAGTGGCTTCAGTGGAAGGGGAGGCCACCAGTTCCTGGTGCCAGCCAGAGCACACTGCATCATCTCCAGCTGCATACCCGTGTGGCTTGGACTGACTGGATGGGAGCCGGCACACCCCACACCCTCAACACCAGGCTGAGCTGCCCACCAGCCCCCTGTTCCACCTCCCCACTCTGCTGACCCACTTTCAGTAGCACACACTGTCCTCCACCTTGGTCCACTCAGTGACCACCACTTTGGCTGGCCAAGTCCAACTCCACCGACCACCACCAGCTCAGGTCTCAAGCTTAGGCAGAGTGTTGTCCTTTAGTGACGGAATCTGTGTTCACATCCTCTTCTCTTCCCCTGAACCAGTTACACCCAAGTTTTTCTTGACCTTGCACACTACCTGGGGATTCTGCATATTCAGTAAGTCTGGGATTAACTAAAATCGTACATGGCCAGAGTCCTGTTTGCAAAGCCACCGCAGCCCTGCGGCAGCCAGCTGGGATGAACGAGGGCTCCTCAGAAGTCGTCATTAGTCGAAGCTGCCAGTGACCCCAGCTATGACTTTGCCTTCTGCCCAGGAGCCCTGGTGCTTCTGAAGACTTCACAGCAAGTGTGGCCTCACAGGGGTGGTGCTGAGATCGGCCAGGGGCAGGCATGGACACAGCAACTCTCTCCAGGTGAGGGTTCCTTGGATGCATGATGGGAGGTGACCAGGAAGATCTGCGAAGGGGACCTGGAGGCCTCGGAGCAGGCGGAGCCCCTCCTAGGGGGGAACGCACTCACCTCACCACTGAGAACTGATCTCAGAATCAAACTCATAAGTGCCTGCCCGGGGTGTCCTGCCCCATGCTGAAGTGTTCCAGAAGCCGGTGCAGGCTGGCTCCTGGCGGGTGCACAGGGGGTGTGCGCTGGGCCAACCTCAGTAGTTAACCCACCTCCTCCAGGGGGCTCCCGAGGAGCAGCCGCATCCCCACAGACTGCAGCCGGGCCCAGCAGGCTCCCCCTGGGCGCCCCGTCAGCTCCTCCTGCTGGTTCCCCCATCAGCTGAACTCTCCATGGCCACGCAGCACACTGGACCGTCTTGGTATTTTATTCTAATTGAGGAACTCATTTGTATTCATCCATGATTTAATGTGCCGCGAGAAGGAAGGGGGAGAAGACACCATCCTCTCGCAAACCTGGCTAAGACGTATCGCCTCTCCTGGCGAAAAGACTCCTGATTAGGAGCCTGCTTTCTATTTTAAGAGCAGGATTGGGCCTGGGACTTGGTTGCCATGTTTTCTACACAACAACCTCAAAAAGATACAACTTTAGGAAGGAAATACACCAAAAAAAATTAACAGAAGTCGCCTCTGGGCAGCCGCATTACAGATGACTCACCCTGCCCTTTGTCTTTGTGCCTGGGTATTCTGAAAACCCCCTCTCATGAGCAGGTTTGGGTTCTATAATAAAGACATGCTTTCAAACAAAGACCAAGTCCAAGTCCAAGTCTTCGAGTTCAGATATCCTCTGTGCAGAGAAGGCTACCTGTCCAGGCACATTCCCCGGGGCGCTCTGGAGGGCAGGCGGGAGCCTCTGGACCTTGTGCTCCTAGACGAGGTTGCCCCTGTGGGGCTGAGCTGGGCGCCCAAGGCTTGGGCCTGCGAGAGCCTCTGATTGGCCTCCCCGGGGCTGAGACGCCTCTCCTGGGTACCGAGGGCAGAGAGGAAGATGAAGGTCTCTGTGGCACCAGATGCCACCCTGTGGTTGTGATCCCAGCCACCCTTGCAGCCCAGGACCGCAGGACCCGGACAAGAGCTGGAGTTTCCATCCCCAAATGTGGAGTCGAGGAGGAGGGAGAGACTGATGGCCGACCCTGCACCGTGACTCGGGCCCAGGCAGTGCCCGGCTGTGTCCTCATGGGGCAACAGGAGGGCCAAGGACCAGGCACATGCAGAAAGGTCCTGGGGCCACCTGCTGAGAGGTCTGAACCCCTCCCACAAGGGGAGCGATTGCCTCTTGTGGTGGGGGCAGGCTGCACCAGGGATACTTTTCTCCACCCAGCTTTTATTTATTTGTTTGTTTATTGACTGATTGGTTGGTACCTGAGATTGAATCCAGGGGCACTCGACCACTGAGCAACATCCCCAGCCTTTTTTCTTTCTTTTTAATTTAGAAAGAGTCTCGCTGAGTTGCTCAGGGACTCGCTGAGTTGCTGAGGCTGGCTTTGAACTCGTGATCCTCCTGGCTCAGCCTCCCAAACCAGTGGGATTACAGGCATGTGCCACTGTGCCTGCCCCTGCCCCCAGCTTTTTTTAGGGTGTAATTGACAAATAGAACTCGTTTTTCTCGAGGGCAGCGCTGGGATGGCTTAGCGCACGCGCTGTGAAATGGTTTAGCCGCGAGCTGATCAGCCATCCACCCGGCACCACACGGCCCCATCTGTGCATGTGGGAGGTCTCCAGATGGCACACGCGGCCTGACTGCAGTCAGTAAGACCCCGACCACCCCACGTGGACTTGGCCCCTTGGGCCAACGTGCCGTGGCCCTGCCCAGCCTTGGCAGCCACCGTGTGCTCTGCCTCCTAGAGCCCACCCTCTGCTGCCCCCAGGAGGTAGAGTGGTGCTTCTTACTGAGCTTGGCTCAGGCCCCTGAGCGCCAGGGCCTCCAGGTCCACCCGGGTCACTGTGCACTGCAGGGCTCCTGCCTGTTGGGAGGCTGGACTGAGCTCCTCCATGCACAGACAGGATCTGCTCACCCATCCACAAGCCACTGGCTTCCTGGGATCTTCTCCGCGCCCAGAACATGGCGAAGCCTTGCTCAATTTCAATCTGCAGAAGTGCCGCTTCTCAGCTCCACCCTCCTGGGTCCAGGCTCCCAGGAGATCCCCGCGATGCCAGGGGCTTTGGAGCAGGCAATTCTCAGAGAACAAGGTCCTGAGATCTGGGGAAGCAGAGGTGGAATCAGTGCTCACCAGGATTTGACCCACAAGAGGTGACCGTCCTGAGAGCCCGCCAGCCCACCAAAGGGACAGCCTCAGTTGCACCCACACTGAATTTGGGGATAATGGGCAGCTCGAGGGTCTAGCAGCAGGAAGTACCTCCACGACCGTGGGCATCGGGGACTTTTCCAGTGACCCCCTTAGCTCTGGAGGAGAGCCCCTCTCCCGGGGCGTGAGCATGGTCCCTAGGCAAACAGTGGTTAATCAGAGGATTCGTCTGGTTATTTAAAATGCATTCTGCTTTAAAAAAGACAAGTAATCACAATATAGAAATCACAGCATTTGCAATATGTCAACTCACTTTCCAGCGTAGTTTTTAGAATAATGGGTTCACATGATTTATTAATGGGCCTCTTTTAATTTCATCCACAAACAGCTGCATCTTCACCCCACCCCACCCCACCCCCGACAGGCAGGAAAGCTCTCGAGAGCCAGGGAACACAAGGACGGCACGTGTTGGGGAGAATCCCAACGCTGGGGTGGCGGTGAGGGCTCCGGGCTCTCTGTGGGTCCTGAGGGAGCTGCTGTCTGCAGGGTCACCCCGTGGGGCACAGGGCACCGTGCTAGTCTGCGAAAAATGGCTGTATTCCTTATCAATGGCACAAACTATAAATATCCATCAAAGAGGCAGGAAGAAAACTCAGGGCATTTCCCAGAGGCCGTAGCATTTGGCTGAGGTTGTCATCGGCTGAATGTGGGAAAGTCACACAGCCACCAAGACCACACAGAGGGACTGCGGTGGACACCCAGATTCACAGGACTGAGGCTGAGGGGCCCCCAGAGCAGCTCTCCGTCAAGTCCCTCTCGGGGACCCCTCCAGCTAAAGAGCACCGTAGCCCAGGTCAGGTCCTCTGGGTCACGTCCCCAGGGTCAGGTCCCCCGATCAGGTTGTCCCTGGTCATGTCCCCTGGGTCAGGTCCTCCAGGTTGAGTCCCCAGGCAGGTCCCCAGGAGGCAGCCACACCCAGAGGTGCTGCCAGGATAGAAACTGGCTGGCCTGTCCCTCTCCCCTGTACCTGGACAGCAGGTGCTGGCCCTGTGCAGCTCCCACACCAGGCAGTAGGAGGTGAGGGGCTTGTGGTGGGGTCAGCCCCCCATGGCCTCCGGCTCAGCCCCAGTGCAGGTGTGTGGACGTGGCAGGGGAAGGTAGGACAGATGCCCAGGGATCAGCAGCCCCTGGAAGAAGTTCCCAGAAGGGGCCAGTGCAGGACCATCAGGAGCAGCCAAGAAGGCAGGTCACTGGTGAGGTGACGCAGGAGGCCCTGAGTGCTCAGGGCACCCTGGACGGGGCAGGCCGGGCAACCAGAGAGGCGGACCGTCCCCGAGGAGCCACCACCGCGGCAGCCCAGCCCTGGGTGGACGGCTGTGAGTCAGGCCGCAGGCACCTCTGGGGTCACCTGCTACCCTGCCCGTCCTCCCAGAGCCCCCAGGGAATGAGAACAGAGGGCCCTGGAAGGCAGGTGGCCCAGCCCCCCACTCTGCCCCTCTAGGGGACTGCGGGGGACTCGGCTGGGTGCTTCCCCTTGGAGCCAGCACCTTGCTTCCGTCTCTCTGAGAGGCGAGGCGGCCCCATGCGGGTCTGAAGCTGAGAATCAGGCCAGGCCCTGAGACGCGGCCCTCCCCTGACCCCCTGTCAGACCCACCAGGGAGCCTGAGGGCAGGTCACTGAGGAGCCAGAGATGACCGCATCTTGCCAAAGCGCCCTGCAATTAGCAGTTCCAGAACACAAACAAGTCAAACCTGGGATCTGTCAGAATCCAGCTTGTCCCACACCCAGGGCAGGCGTGTGCGGATCTCAGAGCTGGGGGAGCCTTGTGCCAGTGCCACCATGGTGTCACCATGCCCGGCAGGGGTGAGCGTGAAGCCTGGCTCCTCCCTGGGCCGGGCGTGGGCCAGCAGATCATCCTGGCGAGTTCTGTGTTTCACCACACAGGGCGCCACCACCCCACAGAGGGCAGAGCTTCCAGCACATTCTATCAGTGCCCCCGCAGTGGCAGGCCCCAGGGGCAAGCGTGCAGGCTTCAGGAGGGGCACGTGCCAGTCCTCGAGGTCCTGCCCCTGTTTGGGGGCCAGGCAGTGCCTTCAGCCACCCTGGGAAGAGCCCAGGGTCCCCGTCCTGCCGTGTCCAGGCCTGGGAGGGAGCCTGCTCTTCTTGGGCCAGGCGCTGTGTATAAAGGGCCCCATGAGCCGCAGCTACAGTCCAGGCAGGGCTCACCACAGACAGAGGCCAGAGTCTGGGGACAGTGACACTGGGTCATGTTTATTCAATTTCACATCAGGCGCCTCAGATCCCTGAATCAACAGTGGGTTCTGTAAACTGTTGCCTAAGAGGAAGATCAAAGCCTGGTAGATGGTGGCCCAGGGAGAGGATTGGCCATAAAGGCAGTGGCCCAGCGCCACCTGCAGGGAGGCCGCTGCAGAGCCGGAGCCTGCAGGGACAGAGGCCGCTTCCCCCTCGGCCCACGGCCAGGCCCTGAGGGAGAGGCCACCACCACCCAAGCACCCCTCACACAAGCGGGGGGATCAGTGGGTCCTGCTCAGGAGGCTCTTCGCCCAGGCACTTCTGCGCCCAGCAGAATTCCTCAGCTGCCCCCGGGGAGCGGCCATCGAGGGCTGCTTACGGGACAGGCCTGAGCCCTCAGGGCTGCGCTGGGCACTCAGTCCTCCCAGCGGCTCCCTCCTGCCCAGCAGCTCCACAACTGCTGACCCTGGACACTCCCATTCCCGGGGCAGGGCACACATGCCTTGGGGCCCCTGGCTGTCCACCCAGACCCTGCCCGGCCACTGTGCCCATGCGCTGCCCACCAAAACCTCATGGAAGGCTTTGCTGGAGGAAGCTCAGGCCTTGGAGGGCTGCCCCGGCCTCCACCCTGGAGGTGACCTCCCCCAGAGACTGCCTCTGCTGGACAGGTAAGACACAGGACCCTGCTTTTCCTCCTGACCCCTGGGTCTGCCTGGCCCTCCTTCTGGGGTCCTCCCTGGTCTCTGCTCAGTGGGCAGCCTTTCTCTCCCAGGATGCCAAGGTCAGCGGGGGTCGTGGCTTTTCCAGGAGGGAAACAGGACCCCAGGTTGGGGACACCACCCTACAGTCTCAAGGAAGGAAGGAGGGAGGGATGGTGGGAGGGGGACGGGGGGGAGAGAGGGGCGAAGGCAGCCGCTGAGGGCCATCCAGCCCTCTGCCCCCGGCCCTGGGAGGAGAAGCCACACCTCTGGCTCTGGGTGGGCTCTGCCCTGGCCACTGTGTCACCCTCTGCCGTCAGGTTCTGGCAGGGGACCCAGGCCCGAGTCCCCTGTGGGATGGGCCTGGCTGCACTGGGGCTGGGCTCAGGCAAGAGCTCTCTGGTGCCTTCTGTCCAGGCCAGCGGAGGCCGGGCTCTCAGGGAAGCAGCGCCTCTGAGTCCAGCTCCTCTGTGCCCAGCCTCCCCCTCCCACAGGCCATCTGCCCAGCTGCCTTCTGGGGCGGGCGCTGCCGTCGGGGCCCTTGCTTCACTCTGTCTTCTCAGGGTCCCCTTATGGGACACCATATGCAAAACCGCCTCACGCCAGCTCCACAGCCTGCCTCAGAGCTGGGGGCTTCAACCCTCAGAATAAACACAGGGCCAGCTCCGTGGCACGGCTCTGGGATGTGACTCTGAGACCACAGAGAGAAGGAACAAGACCTCATCGACACCTAAACCCTCCGGCCACCACAGGCGCCTCGGCAGAGTGACAGAGCCACCCCTGGATGGTTTCAATCCTGACTATACAAAGAACTGAGCAGCAAATGACGATCCAGTTCAAAATCAGACCAGGGACCTGCGAGGACCCGAGGCAGTGAGCCCAGACCCCACAAGTCAAGCCCCTGCCTCCGGGCTCCTGGAGTTGGGTGGACAGGGTTCGATGGGCTTCGACAGCCGGGCCCACGAGGGTTAGCGTGTGCATGTGAGGTCAGGCTGGGCAGGCAGCCGTCTGCAGGTCAGCAGGAGCCTTCCTGGAGCCCACCACGCCAGCACCCCTCCTGGCCCCACCCCACGGCACTGCCTCAGGGTGGCCCCAGCACTCACGCAGACCTGGACATCCGTGAAGATGTTGAGATGGCCAGAACGCTCAGGAAAGATGCCCAGCAGCATGTGGCTAGGGAAGGGCAAGTCAGGACCACAGGGAGAGACGGCCTCTCCGCCCACGGGGACGGCCCCTACTACCTGTCCACACAGAGAACAAGAGGCGCTGGCCAGCACGCGGAGAACGCAGGACCCCTGCGCTGGGGTCAGTGCAGCTGGCTTCTCAATGAGTGGTCCAGCAACTCTGTCTCCGGCGCAGGCAAAGGAGCTAAAAGCAGTCGCGAGGTGACCGCCCACCACGCTGTGACAGCCTTAGTCACGGCAGCCAGGTGTCTGTCCACAGGTGACGGCCAAACAAGATGTCCACGCAGTGGAATGTCACCCAGTCCCGAAGGAAAAGGAAAGCCAGGCACGAGGTAAAGTAGGTGACCGTTGAGAACGAGCCGGTGATGTGGGCCGGCCACCGGGCAAATGCTGTAGGAGTCCTGCTGCCCAGCTCCTGGGGTGGCCACATTCCAAGGTGGTCGCTGCTGCTGGGGAGGGGACAGTTTTGTTTGGGAGATGGCAGGTCCTGGGGATGGGGAGGTGGCCTCACAATGCTTGGCTTGGCCTGATGCCACTGGACAGTGCACCTTAAAGTGGTCACGTGGGGAGTCCCATGGCACATGGATGTCACCACCCTTCTTACGTTGAGGTGAACGTGTTGTTCCACGTTACACTGGTCCTTTTTAGTCTCCCTTGTTTGGGGTCTTCCAATTGTCTCAGGAAGGGCAGCTGGACGGTGCCCGAGCTCCACCTGCACAACAGGAATGGGGAGAGAGTCCACTAAAGGCTCCTGGTGGGGAGAGTCCACTAAAGCAGACGGGCCCAAGTGACCTCCACCAGGCCACAGGAGTCCCACGTCCCGTCCCACCCGCCACCTCCAGGTGGATGGGAGGCCACAGCTTTAGCGTTTGGGGAACTCTGAGGACCACCACGGTCCTGCCCATCAGCTGCAACACAGGGGGGGCCTCTGGAACCTGGCCACAGGCACAGGAGAAGTCCTGCAGAGCCCCTGGGGACCCTCCCCACCTCTGCCTGAGCCAGCCCTGGGTGAGTGCATCTGGCCAGCAGTGAAGGGGCTATCAAGTGTCTGTGCTCTGTCGTGTCCTCTGTCCCTCATGCTCCCTGCCTCACCCCTGCCTTGGCCTGTGAGGGCTCCTGAGGTGGCTGCTGTCCCAAGGGCAGATGGCCCCAGGGCCTTCCTCCAGCGGCCCTTCCCCGCTCTGCGTTGGTGCCTCGACTGCCATCCCCATGCCTTGTGTTGAGCTCTCTGGCCTGTCTCTAGCCACCTGAGACCCCCGAAGCCCAGGGGCCAGGGAAGGGCGCTGCCCGAGCGGGAGCTCTGTCCCCGGCACCCTGAGGAGCACAGGCCCGGAGGCGCCGTAGAGCAGAGCCTGGTGACTCACACCAGCTGCTCCGGGCTGTGCTCAGGCCTCCTCTCTAGGGGGGACATCGAGGAACCAGAACTGTGTCCACTGTCCCTGGAAGGACCTGCCTGTGCCCACAGCCTCCTGAGCCTCGTGGAGACCTGGGTCACGGCAGGCGGAGAGGCGCTTCCTCACTGGGACTCACCCCTGGGCTGCGCAGCCAGGGAGGGGGTCTCCCGGGCTCCCCCAGCCCCACCGACCCCTGCAGACTCCTCCCCTGAGGATGGGTCCAGGGCGCCTCGGGCCGCTCTCCCCAGGACCTCTGCCTCAGGGTGAGCTGCCAGCCCAGAGCTCCAAGCACCAGAGCCACCCTGTCCCTGCCCCCAGGCAGAGCTGGCCCAGCCTGGGAGTGTCCCTCCATTGGCTGCAGGTTCTTCCTGGTCTGAGCAGTTAGAGCTGAACCCCAGCATCTGACCCTCACCCCAGGTCTGCCGCAGCAGCTGTCCCCACCCACTGTACAGCTGACACGAGAAGCTCAGAGAAGTCTGGAGTCTTGCCCAAGGCCACACAGCTCTCCAGAGAGGAGCTGGCTCCAGAAGCAGACCTTGGGTGTGCAGGCAGCAGCCCCCCAGCTGAGGGGTGAAGGTCGAGGGGACAGTGTGTGCTGGGAGCCACAGGGCCAGGCGCAGGGCTCATGGGGGAGCACAGAATTGCTGCAGGGCCCAGGTGCTGCCCTGCAGCAGCCTTTGGACAGTCCTGCAGGAGGTGGAGCAAGGACAGCCCTGACTCAGCACAAGGCCCAGGAGGAGAGGTGCCATGGGTCTGCCACCCCTGGATTGGTGACGGGAGCTGGAGCAGGACAGAGGTGATGGGTGACACCCGTCTCTGGGGCGTGCCTGGGGTGGCAGAAGACGGAGCATCCTCGGGGGGCCGTGTGGACTGAGCACCGAAGGACAACCCCCGCACAGGCAGAAAAGGAGCCCGGAGCTCACTGTGCATGAGACAGCTCCTGCGGCTCCAGCCTCCTGGGTGAACTTCCTGGGAATTCGTTTCTGAGATAAATTGTTTGGGGATTGCCTGGCCCATCTCTCCTAAGCCCCCAGTGTTTTCTGATGAGGCACTTTCATCTAGACAGACCTGGCGCTGAGTGGCATCTCCATCCCTGCAGTACTGACACCTGCCGGGGCGCGTGGTTTGCGGGCCCAGCGTGAGTTCCTGGCCGGTGGCGGTGCGCAGACCCAGCGGGGCGCTGGAGAAGGAGACAAGGCGTGCGCTCCCTGGTCTGCTGGGAGCGGGGCTGGGGGCAGCAGGCCTGGGGCCCCGGGCAGGGAAGGGCCTCCAGTGCCGCAGTCTGGCGGGGCACAAAATAACCAAGCCGCCACACAGCCCCGTAGGTTCAAAACAGGAACTCCTTTACTCTCCGCACCCCGGGAACGCCGCCTCCCCGACACACCCCACACCACCCCACACCGGAACTCCCCCCACCCACCCGAACTTCACCAGCCAACGCGAACTCTGCAGGCATCCCCACGAGAGCTCAAAAGTCATCATCTTAATGGCTCGCTGGCGTCACCTCTCAACCACTACTTCTGGCAAAATGCCATGCGTCATCCCGACTCGGCTGTGGCCCTCAACACTCCAGGGGCCAGGGGCCTGGTCAAGGGGAGTTTCCGTAGCCAGTGGGGACACAGAAAAATGGCTCCTGCACCTGCCCAAAAGCTCAGGCGGGTCTCCTGCCCTCCAGGAGCCACCATGGCAGAGGCTGTGACAGGGAGGACATGTGGGGATAGCGACAGGGCCCAGGCCACCTCAGGCTTCTGCGCTCTGAGAGTCTTTAAGGGCCGATTCCTTGGTCAAGGGAACCAACGAGGAAGGACACAGTGGGTCTGAAGAGGTCGGGTGCTGGCGCCACGTCCCCACGGACGCAGCAGAGACACCCAGGAGTCCCCACGTGCCGGGTGCAGAGGGGCCTGCTGCTGCCTCAGGGCTGTGGGCTGTGCTGCGTCCCTGAGAGACCAGTGTGTGCAACTCCACAACCAGGAAGCAGGTCTCGGCGTCCACCTATCAGGGAGCCCGGGGGCCGAGGCCGGTGGAAAGCAGGGTGCGTCCCAGAGCAGAGCCTTCTTTGTCCCCAGGTGAAAGGTGGCAGGACAGCCCATCCCCCAGATCCGAGGTGCCCCAGATGCCCCTGTGCCCTGTGCACTCTGCCACCCCCCCCACCCACCAGAGACCTGAGGGAGCTCACTCACTACCCGATGGCCTCAGTGCCCCCGCCCTGTGCAGCCAGCTCACCTGTGGCAGGTGGCCCTGGGAGCTGGGGCCCAGGTCTGGCAGAGCTGGCCCCACACTTGTGTGGCCCAGGGATGGACGGCCAGTCTCCTGGGTTTGCAGACCTGCAGCCCAACTTCAGGGCTGTCCCAGGAGCACCGCCCAGACCAGCCCTGGCAGACGGCTCCCAGCTCTGTCTCCCAAGGGTGTCGGGTCCTCCTGCCCCAGTGGACAGCCTGGACACCGCACGGGGCAGCCTGTGCTCACAGCACGGCTCCTACCTGCTTCTGTTCTGTTTTAAAAACTTGCTCACATAGAGAAGACAAAGTGATAAAGCTAAGGACCCTGAGCATTGTCACCAAAGGCTACATGAATCAGAGCATCACGTGCCTCAGAATCACTCATCCATCAAAAAATAAACCCAATTAATAAAAATTCTACAAGCAATTAATCTAGAGAGAAAAAGGGAAAGGTTTTTCTTTTTTTTTCCCATGGCAGGGGTCAAAGCCAGGCAAGTGCCCTCGTCCTGAGCCATGTCCCAGCACCGTCCTGAGGGCAGGAAGCACAGAGGTAACCAGAGTCCTAAGCCTGGCATCCAGAGTGCGCTTCTTTGTCACCCTGATGTCTGTGACATGCACCCGGGATTCCTGGCTGGGGAAGGACACCCCCATGGCCAGAGGCCACCCCAGGGACCAAGAGAAGCCAGGAGGAAGCCCAGGATCGGGTGGAGAAGGAGTGCTGTTGAGAGCCCTCCCAGCCCAGCCACCCCGCCCTGCACCCTGCAGGCTCAGCAGCCCCACCTTGGAGGGACTCACCCCAAACTCTGGTCCAGACCAGCCTCAGCCTCCTGGAAGATGGGGAGCAGCCCCCCAGCCCAAGCCTTGGTCCCTGAACAAGGGGCTGCACTTGGGATGCTCTCAGCCCATGGCCTGGATTCTCCATTCTGAACTCGCCCCCCATCTCCACCTGGGGCATCTGACCCCCTGCTCCAGAGGCGAGTTTTAAACATGAATTCTAAGACAGGAACCAGCAAAGTGGGTCTGCCGAGAGGAATGAGGGACCCTTGAACCCCAGGAGGGGAGACCCCAGAACCCCAGGAGAGACCCTGACCCAAAAGAGAGCCCCATGCTCCAGGAGCAACAGGGCCACCCTCACACCTCTCCCAGGCCGGTGTCCACCGCCTCGACCCAGCATAAATGCAGGGGGAGTCAGGGCTGCTGTCTCCCAAAGCAGGCAGGCGAGGCATCAAGACTCCAAGCAGAGGGTGCTGCAGGAACATGATGCAGGTCTCTGGCACGGAGGAGCCACAGGGCTGCAGGAGCCTGGCCCTCCCGCCTGAGTCTCGGGGCACCTGCTGCCCCCGGAAGCTTCCAGAGTCCCCCCTCCGTGACCACGCCCTCTTCTGGCCCTTCCACTCTGGCACCGGTGCTGTCTCGCTGCTCTCCAACCAGCTTGTGCCAGACTCCCTGCTCAGCCAGGTGGTCACCTGATGCCCATCCATCCACACAGGCCAGGGCCTGGCACCAGACCTGTTTCCTATTTCTAGCCAGGCCCCAGGTACGGAGGGTACAGCTCCGTCACAACACGACCCCTGACTCTCCAAACACCCTAGCCCTAGACGCTCTCCCCAAGCAGGAGACTTTAATTAAAACCCACTGGACACAAATCAGAGCCAGAAACACCGCCTGGCTCGTGCCACACTTGGGGATCTAGGGAAACAGCCGTCAGTTCCTCTCTTCCTGACCTGAGTCAGAATGTGAAGGCGATAATACACGAAGCTCATTTCCATGGCCCTAACCTTCCAGAATGCCCGCGCCCCTCGGCATCAGGGCAGCTCATCACTACCTCGCCCCCCCTCCAGGAAGGCCGCCCTGCCCGCTCGGGCGCAGAGCACAGAGCTCAGGAAGCAGGTCAGGTGGCCCCTGGGGACACCCTGGTTACCTTGCCAGCGGTGTCCCCATGCCCCAGGTGAGACCAGGAGATGCCAATAATAACAGCAGCTAACACGGTCAGTCCCCACTTCAGTCTAGCCCAGCACACGGGTTGGACGCCAGAGTCCAGGATGGGTTAACTAAGTGACAGCTGTCAATTAAAAGCCTCATGCCCTCCCTCAGCCTCCACCAATCACAACACAGATAACACGGGAGCCATCGTCAGGGACCAATCATGGTGCTTCTTTCAAGGCCAGTCTGTGATTTGGCCCCGGCACCTGTCAGTCATGCAACGCCCTCGGCAAAGCTGGGTTCCTGCTGGGGTCCAGGTGACCAGCTCGGGGAGCACTTGACTAAAGTGGGTGAAAGAGGAGGAGCAGCCGACCAGGACCCGGTGCGGCAGAGAGGCGGGAAGTTGGAGCCCAGCACCCTGGAGTTAGAGAAGAGGCCGCTGGCCTAAGGTCAGCCAGAGACAGGACCTGGGGACTGGCCACATCCACAGAGAACCGTGGCCAAGAGGAAGATGGACACGTGCAGAGGAGGGACGCCAGAAAACCTTCCCGGAGGAGCTTCCAGGCGTCTCAGGACTTGAAAGTGCAAAGGAGGAAACGCTGGACCGTGACCCAGGCTCAGGAGGAGTGTGGGGGCTCCCCCAGGACAGACGGCCCTGGGTCAGTGGCGGGAGACAAGCCGGCTGGAGCCACCTGACAGCCACCATGCGGTGCTCCACAGAGCCTGCTGCAGGTGCGGCACTCACCAGCACCGGGCCGTCTTATTTTTTCTTGTTTCTGTATTTGTTCTTTTTAGTTGTACATGACTGTTACGGCCTGGATGTGAGGTGTCCCCCAAAAGCAATGCAAGAAGATTCAAAGGAGAAATGATTGGGTTGTGAGCTTCTTAACCAATCAGTGCATTAATCCCCTGATGGAATTAACTGGGTGGCAACTGGAGGCAGGTGGGGTGCGGCTGGAGGAGGTGGGCATTGGGGCGTGGCTTTGGGGTGCATTTGTACCTGGCAAGTGGAGTCTCTCTGCTTCTTGATCCTCACATGAGCTGCTGCCCTCTGCCTCCCTCTGCCGCCAGGATGTTCAGCCTCACCTGAGCCCTGAGGAATGGAGCAGACTTCTGTGGACTAAGACCTCTAAAACTGTGAGCCCCCAAATAAACTCTTCCTCCTTTACAATTGTTCTGGTCGGCTCTTTTAGTCACAACAGCAGAAAAGCTGACTAAAACAGAATTTGGTACCAGGAGTGGGGTTCAGGAGCTTACGGAGCTTTGTGGGATTGGAAGGAGGAATTTGAGATTGTAGCAGTGCGGGCTGGAAATGCTTTAGATTGTCGTAAGCTGAGCTGAGTGGCCAATCCTGGGGGAAGCTCCGAAGACCAGAATGCCAAAAGGACCATGGTCAGCTAAGACTGGGCTCAAGAGGGTTCAGCAGAGGACTCAATCGGAATCTGGAGAAGAGGCCATTCAGTTATGTTCTGGCCGAGAAGTGATCTGCGTGTCTGATTAGTTCTACTGTCTTTCCTGTTCCCCACCCCCTCCCTCCCTTCATTCCCCTTTGTCTGATCCAATGGACCTCTGTTCCCCTCCCCACCCTCCCTTGTTGTGGGCTAGCATCAACATATTAAAGAGAACATTTGGCATTTGGTTTTGGGGGACTGACTTATTTCACTTAGCATGATATTCTCCAGTTTTGTACATTTACCAGCAAATGCCATAATTTCATTTTTCTTTAAGGCTGAGTAATATTCCATTGTATATAAATATCTCATTTTCTTTATCCGTTCATGTTGAAGGATAGTTGTTTCCATTGCTTGGCTATTGTGAACTGAGCTGCCATAAACACTGATGTGGCTGTGTTACTACAGTATGTTGACTTTAAGTCCTGTGGGTATAAACCAAGGAGTGGGGTAGCTGGGTGGTTCCACTTCAAGTTTTCTAAGGAATCTCCATATTGCTTTCCATGATGGTTGCACCAATTTGCAGTCCCACCAGCAATGTGTGAGTGGACCATTCTCACCACATCCTCACCAACGTAAATTGTTTCTTGTATTCTTAATTGTTGCCATTCTGACTGGAGTGAGATGGAATCTTGCCGCAGTCTGGCTGGGCACAATCAGGAGCCACTTGTCAAAACAAACTAACTTTATTTTTAGAACCACACACCACACCACACAGCTCCTCAGGAAAAACCCTCAGAGCCCAACTGCCACCACCAGCTTCCCACAAGCCTCTCCACTTCCCCCACTCCTCCTGCTCTTGAGGCGGATTGGCTGGGTCACGTGGGTGGAGCCAAAAAAAGTCCCCCAATGAGCAGCTCCGTGGTCTGAAAGGGCGGGGAAACAGCCCAATGAGCATCACTGCAGAGGAGCCAATCAGCTAGATGTTGCTGGGGCGCTGTGAGCCAATCATCAGCTGGCAGTCTGAAAGTTTGCTGGGGCCCCTTCGGCTGTGGCTCTCAACATCTCCCCTTCTCTGTTTAAACAACAAGCATGTGGCTTAGGGACCGTGCCTGCCTTAGGTTGTCCAATACTACATATGGTCCTTACCCGTTATCAGATGAGCTGACCTCAAGGCGTCAGCCTCCTGTCTTAGGTTGGTACCACTGCAATTGGATCTTACCCGTCATTGACTACCGGTCCAGTATATAGCCACACCTGTGGATAGGTCTTTGTACCAGCGGGGGGGGGGGTTCTTTGCCTCACCTCTGTTGGCCCCCAAATTTTAGCTGACAACCATGACAAGCAGGAGGGAGGAAGATACACCAAGCCAATTGACGGCTCCTTTTGGAAAAATTGTACCACCGATGACACCATCAGCAAAAATACCCCAACACTACCACAAGTCGCTGCACCAACAGATAGTTCACAATGCATACAGGTGAGTTCACAATGCATACAAGTGATGCATAGTCCAGGCAAGTTCTGCAAGCAGTTCAGTGATGGCTATTGCAGAAGCTGTAGATTGGTTTTATCTTTGTCTTCACCGGCACTGGGATGAAGATAGGGATTCTGGCAATAATGGCTAAAGAAAAAAATTATGTAACATTCCAGAAGGCACTAAAAGAAAACAATTTTCTTAACAATTTACATTGTCTTGAAGAGAATTATTAAATATAATGAAATGGAAAGGTGAAAGTAAACAAACAGATCTGTTAACCTCCTTTTTTGTTCACATTTTAAAACAATCCTCAACAGCTGTTTACCCAATTTAAATTAAACCATTTAAATCACGTGAATAAAAAAAAATATTTGGATCCATTTTTTCATGAGCGCTCATCATATATGATGTATGGACAAACGTACATTCAAACATACAACACAAAACACAAGTGTGCACACATAATATAATACACACAACACATAACATAATAGTAAAGGCCTTATAACTTTTTACAGGTGAAATCTCCATTGCAATGTTTAAAAATTCTATAGTCAAAAAATAGAACTGATCAGCAAAACATTAACCTAGGTCTGTATGAGCTCAAAAAACAAAATAGAACTTCATGATGTGGGAAAGGGCAATAATAAAATAGATATTGAAAAAAGCATCCTGGTTCTGTTGCAGATGTAAGAATAGCCAAACTGGAGTTTTGGATATCAGTTGTTATGGATTTGAGCCAAATCATCTTCTTTTTGGTCTGAAGAAATCGCGTTAGTTAATCTCTCTGGAATCCAAATCGGCTGCTGTTCTCCCTGTGGAAACACATAAACAGACCCCAGACTCCAGACAATCACTGGGTGAGGACCTTGGTTAATCTCTCTGGAATCCAAATCGGCTGCTGTTCTCCCTGTGGAAACACATAAACAGACCCCCGACTCCAGACAATCACTGGGTCAGGACCTTAGTTAATCTCTCTGGAATCCAAATCCTCACCACATCCTCACCAACATAAATTGTTTCTTGTATTCTTAATTGTTGCCATTGTGACTGGAGTGAGATGGAATCTCACTAGTTTAATTTGCATTTCTCTAATTGCTAGAGATGTTAAACATTTTTATATCTTTTTTTGACCATTTATATTTCTTCTTCTGTGAAGTGTCTGTTTAGTTCCTTTGCTCATTTATTGATTGGGTCATTTGGGAGATTTTGGGTGTTAAGTTTTTTTGAGTTCTTTATACATCCTGGAGATCAATGCTCTATCAGAGGTGCAGGTGGTAAAGATCTTCTCCCATTCTGTAGGCTCTCTCTTCACGTTCTTGATTGTTTTCTATACAGTGAGGAAGTGTTATTTTGATACCATCCCATTTACTGATTCCTGATTTTACTTCTTGTACTTTAGAAGTCTTATTGAGGAATGCAATTCCTATTAAAATCCCAATGACATTCTTCATAGAAATAGAAAAAGCAATTATGAAATCCATTTGGAAAAATAAGAGGCCCAGAATAGCCAAAGCGCTCCTTAGTGTGAAAGGTGATACAGGAGGCCTCACAATACCAGACTTAAATCACACTACAGAGCTCCAGGAACCAAAATGGCATGGTCTTGGCACCAAACAGACGTGAAGACCCACGGTACAGAACAGAGGACCCAGTGACAAACACACATGAATACAGTTATCCCATACCCGACAAAGGTGCCCTAAACATACAGTGGAGACAGAGAGCCTCTTCCCCAATGGTGCGGGAAAACTGGGAATCCATATGGAGTAGATTAAATGGAACCCCTATCCCTCACCACATACAGAACTCAAAAGTAGACCAAGGACCCAGGCATTAGACCAGAAAAAGCAGGCCGGCCCCGCCTCAGGTCGGCGGAGGAGGTGAGTCCTCGACAAGCTCCTGACATGCATGGCCATCCTTAGGCGTGGACGTGGTGTCCAGTGCCCACGGCCTGCACGGACAGCTGCCCATGCAGCCTCCTCCCCATGAGGGCTTCCCAGCTACCTCCCCTTGGGAGCCCCCTGAGAGAGATTTTCTCTGTCCCCAAACTACGGCTGCAGAGACTCAGCACACGTCATCGGCTCAGCAGGTCCTGCCTGTGGAGACCTCCCCTGCACTTCTGGAAACCAGGCTGCAGAATCGCCAGAGACAGCCACAGACGGAAGACGTCGACTTTTATGTAATTGAACATTGGAAAATAATAGTCGTATCTAGTTGTAGGGACATTGTCATGCTATGATCATGTGACGAGGTGGGACGTTGAATCCAGCTAACTGGCAGGTCACACCTCCCTCCTGATTGGAACTGCCTGCCCTTTCCCTCTGCCCTCACGCCCTGGCAGCCACCTACTGCCGCATGCTTCTGTGAGCTCCACTCTTCAGAGATTGGGCAGGATTTGCCTCTCTCTACCTGACTCAGCATCATGCCCCCCAGGTCCAGCCACTTGTGGCAAATGACAGGACTTCATCGTTTTTCTGGCTGCCTAGTATTCCATTGTATGTGCGGACCACGTTCACCCCTTTATCTGTTGATGGACATGGGCTGATTCCACACCTTGTCTCCTGTGAAGAGTGTGCCGAGGACCTGGGTGCGAGTCTCCTCAGCCTGCTGACTCCAGGTCCTTTACATGCACAGGGGTGGGTCACTGTGTGCACACACAGGACTCTTACTGCCTACACCAGGCTTTCAAGAGGCAGTGAGCCTGCTGGATTGCTTGGTAATCTTCTGCCCCAAAACCCTGACTTCTTGCATTTCCAAAGTACCGACACACGTCTCCCCGTCTGTCCAGACAGTGCTCAGGAGGAAAGGCTGGGGAAAGCCCTCCCTGAGGGGGCCTGGCTTGGCCAGCAGCACACGTCGTCCATGTGGGGGGGGCAGCAGAGCGCTGCAGGAGCCCACCAGCTCCGTGGAGGTGCAGAAACACCAAGTTAACTAGAATAAGAAGGTCCCTCTGAAACAACGGTTCCATTTCCAATGTCCAGGGGGTCTAATGGACCCAGGTGAACGCGCGACCCTGGGCTTTCGCCCTTCGTGACCCTCGGGGAACTGCTCTCGGAGTGGAGGGGGCCTGCGATGCCCCCACACAGCCCATTCCCTGTCTACCACCCGGGATCCCATCCCAGGCTTGAGAGGCGGATCGAGTGTCCAGCAGGGCCGCACGGGGCAGGGTCCTGCCTGTCCTCGTTCCCAGTCCTGTCCTCCAGGAGCAACCGCGCATCTCACCAGGACGGAGCATCCCGATCTGAACCACTCCCTCCTTCAGGTTCAGAGGAGCCATCGATTCCTCCAAAGGGACCTAAAGACAAGAGCAGAGCTTCTTATGTCAAGCTGAGCCTCTGTGGGTGAGTCCTGGCAGTGCCCGAGGCAGGAGCTCCAAGGGCCAAGCAGCAGGCGGGGTGGGGAGCCGGGGGGCCTGGCCCCAGGTCCACCCACCCACCCACCTCCTGTCCGTCCCGTGTCACTGATGACCCTACCACACACCCAGGACCCTGGGAGACTGCACCCGTCACACCCAGAGTGGGGTGGCACCCACATCAGACCTCGGAGAGCTCAGAGCTGCCTGGCGTCTCTGGGGACTGCAGAGGGGCATCACAGGCCACCCACCTGCCTCAGGTGAGTGCCGTCCCCCAGTGGGAGAGCCACAGCCTGGCTCCAGTTGGGGGAGGACCCGGGGGGGCAGACCCCCAGTCCACCCTGCAGTGTCACAGGGCCCGGTGCTCCTCTGCCCAGCTCAGGTCTTAGTGGGCATGTCTGTTGCTCCTGACCACAGGCTCCAGGAGGGCAGGTCAGCCTCCTCCTGGTTGGTCGGTATTCTCCCTGGCCATGGAGCCCCCTCAGCATCTGCTGGACAGAGGAGGGCCCCACAGGCCCCTGAGGCTCAGGCTCAGGGTGGCAGGAGAGGTCTACACTGCAGGCAGCCCGCCCGGGGAGGCCACTAGGCAGGAGCACTGGTGTCCCATCTGCCCCAGCAGGGGTCCCTGAACTATCCACGGGGGCCGAGGTGGCTATCTCTGAGACACGCTGGACACCCACGGCGGATCCTGCCAGCCTGACCTCTGGGCCCTACAGCCAGATCACCCGAGGCTTCAGCAGGGACACCAGGGCCAGCCTTAGGAGCTGGCCTTGCTGTCAGGGAGCCTGTAAGGTGTGGCCCTGCCCCCCACTGTCCCTCAGGGACACTCCCAAATACAGATGGACAGTGAGGGCAGTGGGTACTACTGGGGGCCACCCACAGCCAAAGGACTGATTGGGCATTAGTCAGAGGGGGGCATTCACCACTTCCTCTCTGCAGCCCGGGGCTGGGAGCCTTATTACCTCCGTGGGAAAACGTACGTCCACCCACATCTGTCCATGGAGCAGGGTCCCCCAGGGGGTGCCGAGGTGTGGCTCAGGCGCCTGCTTGCCCCATGGGCCAGACGCTGGAAAGGCAGGTGAGCTCATCAGCCACACCCTGGTATGACCCGTTCAGCCCTGGGCTGCACAGCCCGGAGGCCCTGAACTTACCACGTGGGCCGGGGGATCCTGAACTAACCACGTGGGCCAGGGGTCCTGAACTAACCATGTGGGCCAGGGGTCCTGAACTAACATGTGGGCCGGGGGTCCTGAACTAACCATGTGGGCCAGGGGTCCTGAACTTACCACATGGGCAGGGGGTCCCTGAACTAAATCATGGGCTGGGGGCCCTGAATTATCCATGTGGGCAGAGGGACTCTGAACTAAGCATGTGGGCCAGGGGGCCCCTGAACTAAGCATTTGGGCTCGGGGACCTGAACTAACCACATGGGCCATGGGGGGGGGGGGGGGCTGAACTAACCACATGGGCTGGGGCCCCTGAACTAACCACATGGGCTGGGGGGGGGGCCTGAACTAACTATGTGGGCCAGGGGGTCCTGAATTATCCATGTGGGCAGGGGTCCCTGAACTAACACGTGGGCTGGGGGTGCCTCTGAACTAACCACATGGGCCAGGGGCCCTCAACTAACCACAGGCCAGGGGGCTCCTGCTGAGCCCACAGAGACTCCCCTTCGGGTGACTTTATCTCTCAGCCAGTGTGTGTCCCTGTCACCTGGCAGGGCACCTGGCGGGGCATCCACCTTTGGCCCTGAAACCTCCCTCCCCACATGGACTGGCCTCCCTCCAGGCTGAGCCTGGGCCTGGCGCTCGGGCTCAGGACCCCGAGGAGGGGCAGGCAGTCCACCAGGGTTGGGGGAGCCCGGCGGGGTCCCTCCAAGGCCTGTACCTGGCCTGTCACAGATGGCCTGAGCAGGCCCCGAGGTCCAGCATCCTGGCTGCCGGGAACCAGTGAGGACCTGGACTAGCAGGGACACTTGAGAGGTCCACCCCACACCAGGGGCAAGGAGCAGAGGGCAGGCTCCACTGGACAGGGCCCAAGGTGACAGCGCCCAGGCATGTTGGCTCCAAGACTCCATCCCACGACCCAGAGGGCGGGGGCCTCCCCTCCACCTGCTGCCCCTGGATTTGGAGCTGGGCTGCTGGGGAAGACGGGGCTGGGCATCCTGTGCCCACGGCTGGCGTCTGCTGTCCCCTTGCTCCCCGACACAGCTGGTCATTCATAGGAGGTCGTGGCTGTGCCAGGTGCCTCTAAGTCATGGGTCTGAACGTGGAGATGCCAAGGACCAGGCAGAGACCAGCCACTAAAAAAAGTGCCGCAGGGCTGCAGTCGGCCCAAGGAGGAGTCCTGGAGAGGAGGCCGTCAGCAGCCTCAGAGTGGAGGCCGCAGCCCCTGGACCACACCGTGCAGTCTGGGAATGGGTGGTCTCCCCCGCAGCCAGCTGGGGTCAGGGAAAGGGCAGGGCAAGCTAAGGCCCGTGTGAGGTGGCCTGAATGTGGGAGCAGAAGGGATCACAGTGCCCTGAGGCCAGCCGAGTGCCCTTGCTGGGCAGCTGAGCACCAGGGCGGGAGGTGGATGCTGAATCCAGTTCCTGAGGCTGGCCTCGGGCTCAGGCAGGAGGGTCCTGGGGGACGGTGGGGCTGGCCTTGAGCTTCTGACCAGGGCCAGGCCCAGACCACAGCAGCCAGAGGAGCAGGACGCCATGGCGAGGCCCCATGATGGGCAGGTGGGCACATCCTCCAGCTGGGCCCGCCCACATGGTGGGACACTGCCAGACACCTGGACATACTCCCTTGCCCCACAGACTGTCCCAGCCCCACCCAGGGCAGAAGCATCGGGTCTCCTCTGCTGGGCTCTGCTGGCATCGCCTGACCTTACTGGTCACCTCCAACCTCTGGCCCTTGCCATCATCATCTGCTCCTGGGCTGTGCACTTAGGGGCCCCCAAGCAGGTGTGCCCACCAAAGGGCACCCCGCCAAGGCTGCCCCCCACACCTGCACTCTGCCCAGTAGTCTCTGGTCTCGTTTTTCTCTTTCTTGCAGGGTTCCCTGACCACAAGGAGAGACCTGGAGTTCCGCCTGGCCACTCACTGACCACGGACTTTCCCTTATCTCAGGGACTGGCCAGTTCCAAAGAGAACCAGCCCCTGGGCTTGGATGCCAGACACACTTGCTGGCGGACTCTACCTCGAGCTGTTGGCTGAAATTGGGGCCAGTGGCCACAGCCTGCTGCAGGCCGCTCCTGCAGAGGCCTCTGAGAGGGCAGCTCGGGCAGCACTGTCCTGGGCACTCACTGGTCACTGCCTGGCCATCCTTCCTTCCGGGAATGGCAGCCATGTTCCAGGGTGCTGTCCATCAGGGCTGGTCTCCCAGCCAGGTGAGTCCCTCATCTGCTGGTGCCTGGGCCTCTGGCTGATTGCTCTGTAGCCGGGTTTCCCCGTGAGTCGGAGACGGTTTGATTGCCAGGGATGCGGTGTTTTCCTGCTGTTTCCAACACCCCGGCCTTCCCACCTGCCTGTACCCCACACCCGGCACCCCACACTCTGCACCCAGCACCCTGCGTCCCGCACCCAGCAACCAGCACCCCACACCCTGAACCCCACACCTGGTACCCTGCACCCAGCACCCCACACCCACACCCCGCACCTGGCACCCCACATCCGGCACCCCACACTATGTATCCATCACCCTGCAACCAGCACCCCACACCCTGAACCCCCCACCTGGCACCCTGCACCTGGCACCCCGCATTCTGCTCCCAGCAACCCGTACCAGGCACCCTGCACCCAGTGCCCCACACCCTGTACCCCACACTCTGCACCCGGCACCCTGCATCCTGCACCCAGTGCCCTGCACCCCACACTCTGCACCCAGCACCCCGCATCCTGCACCCAGCAACCAGCACCCCACACCCAGCACCCCACATCCTGAACCCCGCACCTGGCACCCTGCACCCGGCACCCCGCACCAGGCACCCTGTACCCGGTGCCCCACACCCCGCACCCAGTATCCCACACCCGGCACCTGGCACGTTACACCTGGCACCCCGCACCCAGCACCCCACACCCCGTACCCCGCACCCCACCCAGGCCTAGCGCTTCCTGCAGTCTCCAGGAATGGCCCAGCCTGGCAGGCTGCCCCACAGCCTCCCTGCTCACCCACTTCTGGTCAGACCCAGCCCCAAGGGCCCCCTCAAGCCCTCCACAGCCAAAGTTACCTGGCCCTCCCTGGCCCACTGTGGTGACTCCCGCTGCCCCCTGGCTGAGCCAGAGACCTGGGCCTGGGCCTGGGCCTGGAGCCGGGGGACAATGACTGAGTAGGGCAGACCAGTGGGGTGGTGGCCCTGGGACCTGTGGGCAGTGTGGGCCAGTGTTCAGTGGAGCTTGAGTCTCTGTCTCCCCCTCCCATCATCCATCTCAGCTGCCCGAGGTCCCAGTCATCTTGGGGACCTCACCATGGACAGTCACTGCACCCACACCCCGTCTGTGCACCATGGTCCAGCTGCCCTCCGACCTCAGGAGACTCCACCCCTCCCACCACCCCCAGCCCCGGTGACATCTGCGCCCACACACCAGGCCCACCCTTGGTTGTCAGAGCTCCACCCTGACCGTCCCCACTCCTGCCTGCGGACAGCTCGGCCCCAGGATCGCCGCACGTGGAGGCCTGGGTGCTGCCCCTCGGCCGGGTGCTGCTGCCCAGCCCCACCCACCTGGGGCTCCTCGTACTCAGACCTTCCTCAGGCTCCCACCCCTGTCCCAGGCCCCTCCCCAGCTGGGGTGCCCTGTGCCCAGGGGACTGGACAGGGCTGGGGGGGACTGCAGTGTCCTAGAGACATGCCCAGAGTCAGAGGGAGCCACCGGGTCACTGTTCTCCATTCTTCCACCTCCACAGGTGTGTGAAGCCCCTGCAGGACCCAAGAGAGGGACAGGAAGGAACAGCAGTGGGCATTCGCGTGGGCAGTGGCTGCACAGACCCCCACCACCAGGGCTGAAAGGCAAGGTCTCCCCGCAGGGGCAACAGCCCACATTCCAGGTCACCTTCGTCCCCAGGGCTCCTCAGGACCCCTGGACCCCTGGCATCGGCACACAGGGTCTCCAGGCCCCGTGCCAGGGGGATGCCAGCTGCAGAGCTCTGGGCCTGCCCGGTGGCCATCCTAGTGGAGGTCTGCCCTGGGAAGCCACCAGGCCCTGGGCACCTTGGAGAGGGGGAGAAAGGGCGGCTTCTGACCACTGGGTGGGGTCAGAGAGAAAAGGAGTCCAGGGCCAAAAACGCGGGAGCCAGCCAGAGCAGCCGGAGGGACGGAGCTGCCGCCACAGGGGACAGGCCTGCAGGGAAAGCCAGGGCAGTGTGCGCCAGGCGGGGGCTGGGATACTCACCTGGGGGGAGTCGGGCTTGAGTCTCCTGCCTCCACCACTCAGGCAGGAGCCCAGGGCGAGCTCGGCAGGTGCCCCAGGCGCTTTCAGAGCAGCTGGCCGCCCACCGCAGGGTGCTCAGGCAAGGTCCTCGGGAGAAGCTGGAAGAGCTGGACAGGGGCCGCCCTGGGCAGAGAAGTCTGGAGCCCCAGCACAGGCGGCAGGAGACCCTCAAGCTCATGCAAACGGCAGAGGGCCAGTGAGGAAGAGCAGGGGGCCTCGGAGGCCAGTCCTACCTTTGTGGCTGGAGAGCCCAGAAGGCCCAGGTGTAGGCGCACAGGAAGCCACCGAGGCTGTCAGAGCCAGGCTCAGGCCAGTCATGTGGTCAGTGGACCAGAGCCAGAGCGCAAGGCTGTCCCTCGTGGGTCCCTCAGAGCACCCTCAGATGGACGGAAAGCGGAAGGAGCACGCACACCGAGCTCCAGAAGACCCCAGACGCCCTCCCTGGACAGCGAGAGGCCATCTGTGCAGTCACAAGGGCAGAAACCACAGAGACAGCGCCGTCCTGTGGGCGCTTTGGCCAGGGTTCTCAGAGACTCAGACCAGCAGACAGACTGACAGCGAGGAACTGCTCAGGCAGCCCCCCGGACACAAGTCCCCAGGCCCACGGGAGCCAGGGGGCACTCGAGACTGACGGCAAGGAGGCCCATGTCCAAGTTCCAATTTGTCCCTGGAAGCTGACCACATCCAAAACACCCAGGACCAGGCTTGACCAGAGCCCTGACACCTTGCGGCTCAGTCAGGCTGGCACATAAGAGAACTGGCACAGTGGACACTAACATTCAAAATGTCTCCCAAAAAGACACCCAGAACCTTTCAGGGCATGTGCTGACCTCTGGAGTCCCACAAAGAGAATCTCCACAAGGACAGCCAAGGGGCCCCTGTCTCTCTGGGCACTGTCCACCTTGGCCTGCCAGGCGTCCTGCTCTCTGGCCCCCACTCCTTCCTGTCAGGCCTGACGGGGGCTCAGCCATGCTAACCTTTGCGGCCTCCTGGCCCAGCGCTGGCACAGAGGGCCCTCAGATGGACAGCACCATTGGCAAAGCCAGGAGCAGCTGCTTGGGTGGGGGGCACAGGTGCCCCCTGGTACCTGGATCCTGCCGTGCTGGACCTGGAGAGTAACCCAGGGGGTGGCAGACGGCAGCCCACCCGAGAGCCTGCATCCCCAGCTCCACCTGCCTGCTGGGTGACTCCAAGAAAGTCCCCACACCTCCCCGCCCACCTGAAAAGTGGATGCCTGGACCCCCACCCCACAGAGTCATCAAAGGTCAGCAGGTGGGTTCCACTGCCATTGTCCCAGGACAGCAGGGTCACGGGCACAAGTGAATGGGGTCGCCTGCCATCAGCCACCCCAAACACTTGCTGGAGGATCCCTCCAACCACAGCACTGCACAGACAAGGTCCTGAGGAGCAGCAGGGGTCACTGGTAATGAGGGGCCCAAGAATGCCCCTGGCCTGATCCCCAAGACACAGGACCAGCTCCCCAGGCTGCAGCGTGTGGCCCAGGAGAGCCACCTGGCAGCACTTTGCCTGTGATTGTCATCGGAACTCCCAAACTGACAAGGGGAGAATGGGTGGAGGATGGATGGATGGACGAGTGGATGGTTGGAAGGGTGGGTGGATGGGTGGATGGGTGGATGGATGGGTGGGTGGGTAGATGGATGGGTGGGTGGATGGATGGATGGATGGGTGGATGGATGGGTGGATGGATGGGTGGATGGATGGATGGATGGATGGATGGGTAGATGGATGGGTGGGTGGATGGGTAGATGGATGGGTGGGTGGATGGATGGATGGATGGGTGGATGATGGATGGATGGGTGGATGGATGGATGGATGGATGGATGGGTAGATGGATGGGTGGGTGGATGGATGGATGGATGGGTGGATGGATGGATGGATGGATGGGTGGATGGGTAGATGGATGGGTGGGTGGATGGATGGATGGATGGGTGGATGGATGGATGGATGGATGGGTGGATGGATGGATGGATGGATGGATGGGTAGATGGATGGGTGGGTGGATGGATGGATGGATGGGTGGATGGATGGATGGATGGATGGGTGGATGGGTAGATGGATGGGTGGGTGGATGGATGGATGGATGGGTGGATGGATGGGTGGGTGGATGGATGGATGGGTGGATGGGTAGATGGGTGGGTGGGTGGATGGATGGATGGATGGGTGGATGGGTGGGTGGGTGGATGGATGGATGGGTGGGTGGGTAGATGGATGGGTGGGTGGATGGATGGATGGATGGATGGATGGGTGGATGGATGGATGGATGGGTGGATGGATGGGTAGATGGTGGATGAATGGGTAGATGGGTGGATGGATGGGTGGGTGGGTAGATGGATGAGTGGATGGATGAGTGGATGAGTGGATAGGTGGATGGATTGGTGGATGGGTGGATGGGTGGATGGATGGGTGGGTGAATAGGTGGATGGGTGGATGGGTGAATGGGTGGATGTGTGGGTGGGTAGATGGATGGGTGGATGGATGGATGGATGGGTGGATAGGTGGATGGATGGGTGGATAGGTGGATGGATGGGTGGATGGGTGGATAGGTGGATGGATGGGTGGGTGGGTAGATGGATGAGTGGATGGATGGGTGGATGGGTGGGTGAATGGGTGGATGGGTGGATGGGTGAATGGGTGGATAGGTGGGTGGGTGGATGGATGGGTGGATGGGTGGATGGATGGGTGGATGGGTGGATAGATGGGTAGATGGATGGGTGGATGGATGGGTGGGTGGATGGGTGGATGGGTGGATGGATGGGTGGATGGATGGGTGGATGGTGGATGAATGGGTGGATGGGTGGATGGATGGGTGGATGGGTGGGTGGATGGATGGATGGATGGGTGGGTGGGTAGATGGATGGGTGGATGGATGAGTGGATGGATGAGTGGATGAGTGGATAGGTGGATGGATTGGTGGATGGGTGAATGGGTGGATGGATGGGTGGATGAGTGGATGGGTGGGTGGATGGATGGATGGATGGGTGGATGGGTGGATGAGTGATGGGTGGATGGGTGGATGAATGGGTAGATGGGTGGATGGATGGATGGATGGGTGGATGGATGGACAAGTAGACGGTTGGAAGGGTGAGTAGGTGGGTGGGTGGGTGGGTGGAAGGATGGGTAGATGGGTAGATAACCAATGGATGTTTGGTGTGTGGATGGTGGATGCATAGCTATTGAATGGATGGAGTATGGGTGTGTGGATGGGCAGATGCCCAGTGAGGGGCAGGCGGGTGAACATGTGCGTATATGGGTGGTGGGTGGTGGATGAGTGGGGATAGGCGGACAACAGACAGGCATATGCAGGGGCTCCCAGGACTAGCAGAAGACGAGGGATGTGCTGCCTAAAACCCCAAGAGCACATAGATCTCACAGAGAAGCCTCCTGAGGACGGCTAGTGACTGCTGCTGCTACCTGCCGCCCCGTCTCCACCAACCAGAAGACCAGGACCCACCACGGCAGGAAGCGCCTGCCCCATGGCTGGAACCTTCCTCCCAGAGAGGAGGCTGATGATGGTGAGAGCACCTTACAGTGTGGCAGGAGAGGGAGCTGCTCACACCCCCCTGGTAGTGGCACTGCCCTCTGGGGATGCCCCGCCGCGCCCTCCCAGGGAGGCACAGATGGCCCTGCTCTGCAGAGCCATGAATCATGCCTGGTGACGGGCGGCACACAAACAGGAGTGAAGTCAGCAAACTGGAGTGAGAGTGGGGGTGCTGTAGGGCACAGTGACAGAGCCTGGCGTGGCCTCCCAGCGTCTCCTGGGGGGTCTGGATCGGCTGCGGGAGCACACACCACAATGGATGGCACCATCACAGACCACACTTCTCACTCCAACGTGTGAAGTAAATATGTTGGAAATAACCACATCACGGGAGAGTCCACTCAGCCTCTCAGCCACAGGTGGAGAACACCCCAGGGGCAAGGGGTGGAGCACCAGCCCTCCCAGCACCCCAGGACACAGCTGAGAGGTGAGCCAGATGTCCCCACCAGCCCAGTGGCAGGCCCAGGACCGGGCTCAGCCTCCCTCCCACCTGATCCGGAAGCCACCCCTGGCCTCTGACCAGGCCTGACTCTCTGGGCACAGGAGATAGCCCTGGAGCATCGGCACACAGGGCCGTCATGAGGGACCCTCCACACCACACACCACACCTCACCAGAGGAACCTCCGGAGCCTCCAAAGACACCATGAACCTGTGTGAACCCCTGGGTCTGAGTCATTCACTGCCAGAGTGCTCCACCATCACTCCAGGGCAGTCACACCTGGGGTTACGAATGATGGCCCAAACAAAGGTCTGTGTTTTCTTCCTCTCAGGAAAAAGACATGAAGCAATGGCCAAATTCCTCCCTCTTGGTCCTCCCCGGGCCCTTGCCAGCCCGCTGCCTCTGATCCTGGCTCTGCTGCGTTCCTGGATTGTCACAGAAACCTGGAAGACTCGTCCCTCTTTGCCTAAGCAGAGCCAGAGTCAGGCAGCCATGGGGGCAGCTGGTGGCGTCCGTGGGGAAACAGATTGCTCTCTGCTCCCTGCTAACGGAGACCGAGGCTGCAGGGCTAACACAGACAGGGGCCCTAGGATGCACAAAGGACCCCAAGAAGCCAGCACCCAGGACCTCTTGTGCAAGGAAACCAGGGCGATGGGAGAGGCAGGCCTGGGGCGTGGGGCGGATCATAGCACCACCTCCCACCCCCACAGCAGCCTCCTGAGAACATAGTGAGCACATCAGCCTGCGATGGAGGGAGGACTGAGTGGGCGATGGGAGAAGGACTCAGGGGTGATGCAGGAGGACTCAGGGGTGATTCAGAGGAGGACTCAGGGGTGATGCAGGAGGACTCAGGGGTGATGCAGGAGGACTCAGGGTGATGCAGGAGGACTCAGGGGTGATGTAGGAGGACTCAGGGGTGATTCAGAGGAGGACTCAGGGGTGATGCAGGAGGACTCAGGGTGATGCAGGAGGACTCAGGGGTGATGCAGGAGGTCTCAGGGGTGATTCAGAGGAGGACTCAGGGGTGATGCAGGAGGACTCAGGAGTGATGCAGGAGGACTCAGGGTTATGCAGAAGGACTCAGGGGTGATTCAGAGGAGGACTCAGGGTGATGCAGGAGGACTCAGGGGTGATTCAGAGGAGGACTCAGGGGTGATGCAGGAGGACTCAGGGTGATTCAGAGGAGGACTCAGGGGTGATGCAGGAGGACTCAGGGGTGATGCAGGAGGTCTCAGGGGTGATTCAGAGGAGGACTCAGGGTGATGCAGGAGGACTCAGGGGTGATGCAGGAGGACTCAGGGTGATTCAGAGGAGGACTCAGGGGTGATGCAGGAGGACTCAGGGTGATGCAGGAGGACTCAGGGTGATACAGGAGGACTCAGGAGTGATTCAGAGGAGGACTCAGGGTGATGCAGGAGGACTCAGGGGTGATGCAGGAGGACTCAGGGGTGATGAAGGAGGACTCAGGGGTGATGCAGGAGGACTCAGGGTTATGCAGGAGGACTCAGGGGTGATGCAGGAGGACTCAGGAGTGATTCAGAGGAGGACTCAGGGTGATGCAGGAGGACTCAGGGGTGATGCAGGAGGACTCAGGGGTGATGCAGGGAGGACTCAGGGGTGATGCAGGAGGACTCAGGAGTGATGCAGGAGAACTCAGGGGTGATGCAGGAGGACTCAGGAGTGATGCAGGAGGACTCAGGGTGATGCAGGAGGACTCAGGTTTATGCAGAAGGACTCAGGGGTGATGCAGGAGGACTCAGGGGTGATGCAGGAGGACTCAGGGGTGATGCAGGAGGACTCAGGGGTGATGCAGGGAGGACTCAGGGGTGATGCAGGAGGACTCGGGGTGATGCAGGGAGGACTCAGGGTGATGCAGGAGGACTCAGGGGTGATGCAGGAGGACTCAGGGATGATGCAGGAGGACTCAGGGTGATGCAGGAGGACTCAGGGTGATGCAGAAGGACTCCAGAGGGCACGTGACCTAAGCCTTTAACTAGTCCTTCCCAGAAGGACTCAGGGAAGATGCAGGGAGGACTCAGGGTGATGCAGGAGGACTCAGGGGTGATTCAGAGGAGGACTCAGGGGTGATGCAGGAGGACTCAGGGGTGATGTAGGAGGACTCAGGGTGATTCAGAGGAGGACTCAGGGGTGATGCAGGAGGACTCAGGGTGATTCAGAGGAGGACTCGGGTGATGCAGGAGGACTCAGGGGTGATGCAGGAGGACTCAGGGTGATTCAGAGGAGGACTCAGGGGTGATGTAGGAGGACTCAGGGTGATGCAGGAGGACTCAGGGTGATTCAGAGGAGGACTCAGGGTGATGCAGGAGGACTCAGGGGTGATGCAGGAGGACTCAGGGTGATTCAGAGGAGGACTCAGGGGTGATGCAGGAGGACTCAGGGTGATGCAGGAGGACTCAGGGTGATTCAGAGGAGGACTCAGGGGTGATGCAGGAGGACTCAGGGTGATGCAGGAGGACTCAGGGTGATGCAGGAGGATTCAGGGGTGATGTAGGAGGACTCAGGGTGATTCAGAGGAGGACTCAGGGGTGATGCAGGAGGACTCAGGGTGATTCAGAGGAGGACTCAGGGTGA